GTTTCTCAACCTTTGTGTTATGGCGACATACTATTAATATTTCATATTTTGTGACACACAATAATAAAATTAGGAATAATTGGTAATATTAAATATTTATAATTAATTTATAATGTAAACTTAAAAATAACATGGAAAAATATAACATAAAACAGCATTTTAATGAAAAATTTGTGACTGATATTTCTTACATGACGTATCAATATGTGGTGAAATCTTCGGCTAGACAACTCTTAGCTCCTCTTCGACATTAATTAACCATTCCCTTTTTTTGTTTTTAATTTCGTTCAATGTAAAAAAGCTACCTCGTACAAATATGACGTTGAAAATGGTAATAACACAGAAAGAGCCAATTTCCTTAAACTCAAATATTCTCTTTTTGTGTAAATCTAAAATTCGCCTAGTCCGAACTCATTAAACTCCATTTGAAGAGTGCGATCGTTTATTAATTTTGCAAGGTCTTCTTCCTCTTTTAATAAAAGATGTTTAGTTTCTAAACTAGGATTAAATGGATTCCTCACCCTATCAAACATTTTAAAATCCAGTGATGAAAGTAATGATCAAGTTTTGGTCCAATAATATTATTGAGTCATTATTATTGTATCAGTAAATTTAGTTTTAGCAGTTAAAGGAAACATATTCAGATCATTATCATTTAGGTACCCTTCTTTTCCAAATCAATAATTTGTCTTTAAATGTCAAGGGCGTATTTGAGGGGGTAGTGAAAGGGGCATTCGCCCCCCCCATGGCTCGTATTTTTTTTGAATATAATACATTGATTTATTTAAAAAATGTAATTTATAAATAATTAAGAATATAAATTATTAGTCTATCACTATAATATGTTATCATTATAACAGGAACATGAGCTGTAGGTAATGAACTGAAAATTATTTTTAAGTTTGTATTAAAGAAAAATTAGTTTCACCCCTCCCCCCCATTCGCCTTAACTCAAATACGCCCTTGTTAAATGCAGCCATTGTGTCTGTAGATAATAATACATTTTGATTTTAATCTTGTTTATTTAAATTTAATTGATTCAGGTATTCAAAAATATCAGCTAAATATGCTAAATATTATGTTTTCAGTTGGATTGTGAAATTAATTCAAGTATAATGTAATTGTGTTCATATGATATGATTACAGCTATATATTTTTATTTATATACATCGGTATTGTTTCTTTCACATCTACTTAAACATATTTAGAGTACATAAAATGTTTAATAATACTTCTCTAGAAGTGAGAAAATATAAAATCAATTTTTTATTATTATAATGTAAATATTTAAAACAAAATCATTATAAATTAAATTTTTGAATAAATGTACTTGATTTGATTTATATTAAAATATATGATTATTTTGAAGTGCGTGAGTACTTAAAATTAATATAACACATTTTACATAGCGATAAATTTATAAGGATTCCATCTGTTTTTCATAATACATGTATAATTTTGAATTTCAGTATTACAATAACTGGAATCACGCAACACGATGATAACAAAAATTTACAAAAAAAAAAAATAATTCCTTGATATGAATACAAAAGTTATAGTTTAAATTTTTATCAACAGTCGATTTTATACCATTATTATTATGTTATATGACTGGATAGTGATTTCAAGATTTTTTCGATTTTAATATTTTATTTAATAAGCATAATCAATAAAGTAATTTATCTTGATAGCACTCACGTGATTTGTGAGAAATCCCAAATAATTATCATAAGGTACACTATTATTTTTCGAGATATATTTATGAGTGAACTTCAATATGTATAATTTATATTAAAAATAGGAGATTTACTTTATGAATTATTGTTCATGAATATTTTCAATCTGCGTCCAATGAAACCTGAAAATTACGTCCAGTGCCGGTTAGCCTAACCTAACCTAACCGGCTCCACGGTTTTCGGGGCCCGGTGGAGAATTTTGCGGGGCCCCATATATACATATAAATTTTTTTATTTATTAATTGTTTATAAAAATCTACGTTTGTTCATGTTATTATAAACTAAATAATATTTCGAACCGCCGTCGACGATGAACAATTTTACAAGTGCATGCGTGTTCAATACTTCAAAGCTATGCGTAATTGGTACCATCTTAATTTTCGTCGATAACAACCCGTTTTCTGAGAAAACCACAAGACCACATGGGTTGCAATTTCCATACTATAACTAACCTATAACGGACTATAATATTTTTACTTATAGATAAAGTGATATTCGTAATACACAATTTGTGGGGCCCCATATAAGCGCGGGGCCCAGTGCGATCGCACGGCTTGCCCTCCTCTAAGAACGGCACTGATTACGTCACAAGTGTATATTTATCACCTCTCGATAAAAATATTATATAACGAATAATGCTAACATTTTTTCTTTTGTTATACTTGGAACCTAGTTTAAAAGTACTTTAATTTTAGTTTTTGAAACCCATTGAATAAGAGTTCTTATATTATTTTTTTCATTTATTCTTTTGATTCCAGAAAATATTTAGAATGCCTTGCACAGTTGGATTGCTAATAAGTATTGTGGCAACTCTTTAATTTCATCTTGTTTTGTGTTACTGGGTTAGTGGGTCTATCGTTCATATTATTATATCATTATTTTTTATTTTATATAATTTCTTTATGTGACCATATTCTAAATATTGTGTTATAGATGTGTAATATTTGTTATTTTTCGTAAGTGTTGTAGATATGTATACAATAACAACAAGTAATACTGTGTCAGCTGTAGAAAAATAATGTTTGATAATAAAAATGTATTGAAAAGAAAAAAAGTATTAAGTTGTGCAAAAAATCACGTACCTATTGTGTGTCGATTGAAAGCAAATCACAATAATTTATATATATGACACAATATAGTTTACAATAAAATGGTAAACTCCATAAAATGGTTAGTACTTTTTTATTTCAAATGGATTTCCACACATTTCGATTTCGGTGTAAGTATCAGAAATAAACTGAAGTTTATAAAAGGATATATTTTTTGTGAGTTTAAATTTAAATTGAAATATAAAGCATCGACAATATTTCATTTTAAAATTACTTAAAATAATGACAAGTGAGTAGTAACGAAAAGATATGTCGGCATTTGACATCAATATTTCCGGATTATAAAAGTTGTCGGTGGTATATTGAAATTACAATACATTTAGTTTTTAACTTCATGCATATTTGCCAGTGGTGTATATAGATTTTCACTTCGGATGGGTCCGATCATGTATTTAATTTTTGAGGGGAAGGGAAAGAGGAAGCACACTATTACGACAAAAATTACAAAAATAATCAACAGTTTCGAAAAATCGTCCGGAAAAATAAAATACTGAATTAATTTGCAATTAGATTCGTTAAATATAAATACAGTAAACGTTAAAATTTAATTCCATGCAGTATAAAATATATTTCTTGACTATTGATTATTTCCATTTATGAGTCTTCAAATTATTATTGTAAATTATTTGTACTTATTATATTGGTCGATAACTGGTATAAATAAAGAATACTGAACAATATTATTATTATAGCGATTTGTATTCACGTATCATGTAATCAATGCTGGATTTAGCAGGAGTGCAATGTACTGAGGCCTCAAGGTCGTGATTTATTAGAGGTCTCGGATACAGATTCAAGATTTTTTTTAATTGCATCAAATAATACATTATGATAAAATTAATTTGACAAATCATATTCAAATGTTATTCCACATGTTAATCAAATCAAATCATACATTTTTCCATTGGACATCGATTTCTTTTTAACTCGTTCAAACTATTATTATTATATTTCAATATGACGAATATATTCATGAATATATATACATATATATATATAAGATATATTGATTCAATATACCATATTGAAGAAATAGTTACCTAAGATTTATGTCAATCAGGCGCGTAGATAGGTATTTTAGGGGGGGGGGGGGTGTTATTAAAAATTAATCGAAAAAATTATATACAACAAAATAATAACTTTACGTATACTTTATTGTACAAGCTTATAAATACTTTTGTATATTATACACGAATATCTGTTCATATATTACTGTATGAGAAAGTGTTTAAATATTTTATTAAAATTTCAAATGGACATTTTGTCTCTTACATATATATTTTAAATTGTGTATGAAACGATACAAAACCACGGCTTTAATATATTAGATAAAACGGTGTAATAAGAATCCGGGTCCCGGCTGTACATTTCTGTTATCATAATATGTATATATTTCGTTATGATAAATATGTGTTCATCACGGTTCATGAGTTTTTACCTTTATATAAGACCGAAGTACATAGTCAAAGGGGGTGTAACTACACCTGTTATACCACCCCCCACCTGGCCACGTGCCTGATGTCAATCCATTATTATATTATTTTATTTTATTCTGAGGGTGCCTCCGATTAGTAGTTGCATTCTGGGTTCCCAAGACCTATAAATATCTGGCACTGCACGTGATCGCGTATCACGAAACAACAAAACTTGTGATTCCATCTGTCAAAACGAGGATTTAAAATGCTTATATTAATGATAATAATAATTAATAACAAATATTCGGTGAATTCAAACGAACGTGTAAACAACCACTGACATCAGTTGTAATAATGCTATCGTATTCGTGGACAAAACAACGTACAATGGACGTAGTGACGTTTAGACTTCGGGAATGACTAGGACATGCTCACCATTACCCCGTTCGTCGTTATCAGCCACGCTCTAAACGTCGGCGATGGCGGGCGGTCCTATTATCATTCGTATTTGCATTTTATTTTATTTTTATTTTTTTGCACGGCGACAGAGCACTTTTCCATCGCTGTCGACTTGCTCCTCTTTGCTGTTGCTGCTGAAATCTTCGGTCGAACTGGTGGTGTTGTTCGTTGTCAACCGTGTGCTATTATTAAAATTATAATTACAACAACAACACTCATTGATAACAGGTATGATATTGTTTTAGTGACCTTGTTGTTTTGTTTGTTTTCGAAAGATTTTATTTCTCTTCCCCACCAATATTGCGACCGTGTTTCGTTGCTGGTGCGTCGGTGTTATCGTCCCAGACGTCCTTGTCGCGTCTTCCCGTGCGGCTTTTAATTTCGCGATATCTCCCGCCACCGTGGCTGCTCCATTGCAACGGGTTCTAGACCGCGTTCGCTCGCCTACCTACTGATCGTTGTCACCGTCTCCGCTTTGCAGGAAATTCCTTCTCGCGGAATTAGGAATAAACGTACGTCGGTGGTTTTAGATAAAAAACATGATACTATTGTGAAAATTAAATACAAACGAACCATGAACACGTCGATCGGGCGATCGAAAACGATAGTATTATTATGTGATTATATAATCGATCTTTATATTTGATCTTTCTTACAGGATCCACAGCACCAGGTATGCCTGTCAAAGTGGACATAACGCCTAGACCACCAGCCAACTCTAAGCAATTGGGCGTCACTGGATCTATTTTGTACAGCGGATCAAGGTTCCAAGGATTCCAAAGGTCTAAGGGTAACAGTTACGAAGTGGAAGTTGTGCTACAGGTATGTTTTTAATGCTTACGGTTAAATATAGATTATACATTAGTCTCTGTGGGAATGCGGTGTCAATGATAATGCGCTGTGCATCCCATTGCATTTTCCAGCATGTCGACGAACAAAACGGTTATTTGTGCGGTTATCTAAAAATTAAAGGTCTAACCGAAGAATTTCCTAATTTAACCACATATTTTGATGGGGAAATCATAAATAAAAAGTGTCCTTTTTTAACAAGGAAATGGGAAGCTGACGAAGAAGTGGACAGGAAACATTGGGTTAGTATCATGTATTGAACATTTTAGAATTTAATAACACTCGCAAGTGTTGTTTTATTATATTTTATTTTTTTCGTTTTTTTTACAGAATAAGTTTGATGCATTTTGTCAATATGCTAAGACATTTAATTCTGACGCATTTGACTACGAAAATCTCAAAAATGCTGATCATGTGTTTATGCGATGGAAGGAACATTTTTTAGTGCCTGATCACACTATACGTGATATTAGTGGTGCTTCATTTGCTGGTTTTTATTATATTTGTTTTCAGAAATCAACTTCGTCTATTGAAGGATATTACTACCACCGAAGTTCTGAATGGTATGTAGACTTTTTTATTATTATTATTATTATATTTTTTATAGTTATTAAATTAATATTTGTATTTAAATTGTAGGTATCAAACACTATGCCTAACACATGTCCCAGAGCACAGTACTCAGATTTATGAATTTAGGTGATTTATATAATATACCAAACATAAAAGTTAACAGTGAAAATGGTTCAGAAGTATATGAACTACCTCAAGGTTATTGTGATTTTTTAAGCATTTTTCCTTTTTTAATTACTTTGATAACTAATTAATTTTTACCCAAATATTTTACTATGAAAATTGGTCATTAGTGTTATATTAAACTGTGCTATATTTATGTATATGTTTTACAACAAACATTTTATCCAATGTTTTTCTTAACTAACATTTATTGATATTGTTATAGCTTCAGTAGATAAAATTTAACTGATACTGTAATTTGAAATTGTGTTTTATGTATAAAATATGTGAATATGTCAAACAATTAGATTTATAATAGTAATAAAAATGTATTTTTTATTAAATCTATAGTAATGACAAATTATTATTATTTAACATTTTTTTATTCATTGATACAATTAATTTTGTTGTAAAAGTAAAAATTAGAACATTTTATGTATTTTAAATTTTAATAGACCTATGATTTGCCTTTATAAATACATTATATGCTGTTATTTTGAATGTAAAATACCTACTACTCATTTATGCGTAACATGACATAGATATTTTAGAACTTACACTTGAACATAATTGTTTATTTTTATTCTTATACTAAAGTATTACTTTTAATTATGTTATATAAATATATAAAAGTGCAACAAATCAGTATTAGACCTTTAAATAATTAATTTATCCATAAAAAATTGTTATTTTGTTCTATTTTTGTTGTGTTATATCAAATAATCAACATTATTTCATTTCATTTATGAATTTACTAAGTAATATCAAATGGTTATGTGATAATATTAGTTTTATTTAACTTAGTTTTAAAAATGTATTATTTACAATTTATTTTTTATGACATCAAGTTTCTTTAATGTTTTAATTGGATTTGACCGTTAACAGGAGAAAAATATTATTATTTTAGACTGAGCATTTTTTTATTGTTTGTGTTTACTTTTATTTAGTGAAAAGTTTAATGAGTGAAACTAATATCAAAGTGTAAGATCAATTATTCTGTTTTACTGTTGTATAAAACCAATAATGTATATAGCCATTAAGAAATATATGAATATGGAATATTGTCCGAGATTACCATGGAAAATATTGTCTTAAAAACAAGTCTTATGTTGTATTTTTGAATAAATATGTTAAACTGATTTTTGATTTTTAGTTATTTACAAATATTTCTTATTGTTATGGATGTGTAAGATCAGTTGATATCCAAATAGTCTTTACAATTATTTGTTGTGATAAATATTACTATATTTGTTATTAGTTATTGCAAAGTATTACTCATTATAACCAAATGTCAAAGAATTCAATTTCTTTTAAAATAATATTTAGTTCACATATATTATTCCATTTTTAAACAAATTGTACAGTGTTCATAATTAAATGTGTTATGAAAATGTATAACATTGAATTATAATCATATTATTGTTGTGTTGATGTATTCTGATTCACGAGCTTACCAATTTCATTACATACCAAATTTATCAACCCAATATTTGGTGATCTTTAATTGTAAATACTGAATTTATTATGATAATATTAGTCATATCTGTCCACCTAGTTAACTCTGCAGTTTTTTTGAGTTACTTGGTAGTCTCAGTTCTCAGAAACTTATTATTCTACAGAAGAATAATGGAATATATTCCAATGTATACAGTCTTAAATCATTTATTAAAAGTAATTTTAGATGCAATAATTTTTTTTCCAGGGTTAAAAGATGAGTTTAATGTTGCTGAGAAAAAATTTAAAAATTGGTTGCCATATGATATGTCTAAGAAGATTTAGTTCAAAGCCTCCACAAGAAATACCAGAAGAACCAACAACATGTTGTATGTCAGGATGTGCCAATTGCGTTTGGATTGAGTATGCAGAGAATATTAAAAATGTATTAGGAGACAGTGATAATAAAAAAATTGCACAAAAGATACTGGACAAGATACAAGATCCCAATATGAAGGCGTTTCTGTCTATGGAGTTCAAATCAAAAGGCTTTTAATGTCATCAAAACTAATATTATATTTAGAAATAGTTTGAAAACATAAATAATTACATAAATATTCTACACAGTACATTTCATGAATGATTATTATTATTACAAGTGGAAATTAACAGTGTCACAGTTTCCTCAGTTTGGTTCAGTGAATCTCTTAACGTTAGCGCTTCTTATTTTCTTCCTTTCTTTGTACACAGACATTTGGCCTATCCACGGGTCGAAGTGTATTAATTCTAATTTGTCGGCCAAACGTTCTCTGAACACATTGTACTTGTGACCGCTTACCATGCTCTCCATTAGCACCATGGTATGTTTGGATTTTACTTTCTTCAGCAATACATTCGTCAGAAACATTGTAATTTATTTCTGATGGCGTCGAACGTTGAAAGTTGAGGCAAACAAGAGAGAACAACTTTTATTTACTTGGAAAGCGGAACAGCCGTAAAAAACATTTGTTCCAAAGAAAACATGGTTATTTGATAAATGAATAATAATTTGATAGCATTATGATTACGTCCACGGTCATAGAAAATATCTTCTACGACTGTGATTACGCCGATAAGTACTATACAGCGAGTGCGATAGAAAATATATTGTAGGTTGGCTACATTGTAATTCAAACGAAAATATTGTTTACCGTTGTAATTTTATGATAATAAAATATTTGAAATTGTCAAGCGTCCACTGGGAACAAAACATGCAAAACCGAAATTAAATCTTTAGCAACGCAATAAGTTATTATTGACAATAACATAAAATGTTCTCCCACATAATTTCTGATGTCAACGTCGACTTAGAACTTTCAACATATAATCTAGATGAGTTAACTGAACTTGTAAAACAAACTGATCAATTACATTTAGAATATGAAGGTAAGTTAAATTTGAATAAATATTTTTATTTATTTTTTTGATTTTGTATGTATATTAATTAATGTTTCATTTTTAGAAGCGAAGACCTCATTAGAAGAGATAAATAAAGAAATATTTCAGAATGAGGAACAATTTTCTATCATTGAAAAAGATCGACTTAAACTCATGTCTGAGTTAGCAGTACTAATGCTGACGAAAGTAAGAATACAATTGTGTTAATTCTTGATTTCTAGGTATTATAGTTTTAATAATAAATTTACGAGTATCTATAGTTTATTTATAAAGCTAACAATTAGTTAACATAGAATTCCATAGAATAAATTAAGAATAATGATTTAGAAGCAATTATGTACTCTTATGAATACCTTTTTTTTTAGTAAACATTGATTAATGAATTTAAAAATTACTGTTGGATACAAAAAATCAATTATGTTAATTTGTCATAGTATAAATGTTGTTGACCAGTTTTTTGAATTTATAATACAAATGTTTTCAAACTTACCACAAAGGGTTTTGGATTATATTTATATGATATTTGATTTTAGAGTGATTTTGAACATCTGTTTATTAATTTTTTACTATATTTCCAACTACTTAAGACCCCATATTAAATATTCTTCATTTTTTTAGAAGATAAATATACTTTAAATTGTTTGACTATTATATACTTATAAATATTCACTTATATAAATATGTATATTTAATTATTTAATTTCAAGTTGATAAAATGAGAGGTTGATATACATATAATAATTATTAGGTTTTCATAATGCAATTTCTTCTTTGTTTTTAATTTATTATACATTTATGTATGTATTGTTTTATTGAAAATATGAATGTTGTATTAACATAACACTGATTTATATTTAATTTATTCATTGAATTTAAAAATTAGTTTTATGGATGGATATGTTACAAATAAATGATTTTTACATTTATTTTAAAGGTGAAAATAAAATGTTAATCATCATTATATTTATAACTTTTTTTAGATATTTTAAAATATATTTCTTTAAAAATAGACTTGTTAAATAAATAATTAATAGAATATATCATTTTGTTTCAGTGTGATCTAAAAAATAAATTAGAAGATTTAAAAAATGTTCAGCAATCAATAGAATTTGATTTGAAAAAATACAACAAAATGAAATTAAGTACTGCTGATGTAGAATTGTTAGCTCTTACAAAGTAAGTTTATAATTTATGATAATTATAATTTGAGTTATGGAGTAATAATTTTTATTTTATTTTAGGAAAAAATTTATAATTTATAAAAAGATGTTGAAAATAAATTTTGATTTTTCCAATGGTGCAAATACAGTAATACACAAGGGGTGTATCCTTTTTATAAATATTTTAAATAATAACTTTTATTTATAGGTGTTTTCGGTTAATAATTTTGATTTTTATAATAGATGATATTACTAGAACGTTTGTGTAAACTAATGACATGTATTGCGTTTTGGAGGTTAGGCATATTTCATCAAAAGTTGGTTTATTCTTGATTAGTTTTTTTTAATTTTTTTATTTATTTTTATGAATTGAAACTTGATAGAATTACAATTTATTTCAGCATTTATAAATTAGAGATAACAACGTAATGCACAATTATTTAGCTAAAATATAATGCACATTTAATTTGCAATAATTGAATCTAATTAAATGGACAGACCAATCTCAAGGATGAAGGATAATATTCGGATTATAATGATTTTAGAATTTGAATTAAGAATAGAAGGAAGAGTTAATTGGATGTTTTGAGATTTTAAAACCTTAAAAAGAATTAAACTATTAGAAGATAATGAAGGGTAACTAAATTTCTCGATTGTTATTGTGCATATAACATAGTTTTTTATAGCTTTGAAAATGTTGAAACATGTAGCACATAAAGCCATTTTGTGGGGAAGTGTGATAACCTTCTTCTATTTGAAAAAAATGGCTGCTGAAGCATTGATTCTTGGTTGAAGCTTTAGTGAACATATTATTACTCAAAAACATGTGATTGATAGCGACTTTGACGTCAAAGATATGGATCATCCTTAATGATATGAAAAAGTTTGAATATGCAGATTTGGAACCTTTATTGGATGAAGACTCAAGTCAAATATCCAAACAATTGTCAATTGGATAAATGTTTCCCAATCTATCGTTTCCGAATGCTTACGCGTAAAATTGAATAAAGCAAGGAGAAATTGCCAGAATACACGCTAAGACAAAGACAATGTTTGGCCCCATGCGACAAAAAGTGTGAAAATGTGTTTGGAAAACATTAAATGGACGCCCTACCCCACCCGCCATATTCACTGAACTGGACCTCTAAAAATTACCACCTTTTTTGATTGATAAAGATTGTCTGAACAACATTCCTATTCTTACAAAAAATTAAGAATTTGGTTTGATTGATGGCTGATCTTGAAAAATGAAAAACTCTTTTGGCAAGAAATCCATGATCTACCAAAATGGTAGACAAAAATCAACAATGGCCAATACTTAATAATTAATAATAATTTATTTTCATCATCTTTAAATCTTAATTATCTAGAATATTTTGTTGTTTTTTAGTTTCAAACATAAATTTGCTGAAAAATTGATTTAAAATATAAGAAGTTTTAATGGTGCATCGGAAATTTATATTCTTCATGGCAACTACACAATAATACAATAATAATAATAAGAAAACTTATCATTTTAATTTATAATTACATTTTTTTTATATTGATAATTTCTTAAGCATTCATTCTTATTAAATGAAATTATTTTATATTTTTATTGAGATTTAAGTATTATGGAACCTAAATATATGTATTAAATACATTATGTATATGATTAAAATATTAAATATTTATGGTGTTATAATATTCCTTAACTTATGACAATAGATATGTATAACAACATTGAAAAGAAATTAGTATACTTTGATTTTAATACTAATGAAAAAACCATCGATGAAATTTCAGGAATTTTATGGAAAAAAATGAAGATGATTTCCAATAAAAGTTGGAAATATTTTGATGTATAACTTTTCATATTTGTAATTGCTATTTGTTTTTATAGCGTTGATGTGTATATATACATATTAAGGTGATTTTTTAACTGTCTTTGGACTATATTTTTTTATTTTGTCAAACTTAAATATATTTGAAAAATATATTTATTTTTTTTTTATTATTAACATTTGACTATTAGTATAGTTATATGACAAATTAACTTTTAAAATTAAGGTTAATATACAATATTATATATCTGATATATAAGATTCTGTATATAGAAGGAAAAGAATTTCATAAGATTGATTTAAAAATATTGACATTCATTATTAATATGCAAGTATTTCTGTATGAAAATTTAATTATGTTATAAATATATTTAAATTTATATGCTATGAATTATATTTAATTATTTATTTATATTTATATTGTTTATACATTTTAGTATTAAATAAATATTTTTAAATATCTTGTTACTTATAAATGGTTATTGATTTATATTTAACCTTTACTCTGATTTATGGTACTATTTTTAAAGCATAGGAATACAATTTATTTATTTCATATTATGAAAATGTTTATATTATTGTTCATTACTTAGTAAAAAATTTCATCTAACCGAGAAAAGTGTTTCTGATCGTAGAATGAAAATATAATTTCTATGTATTTATTATTTCTTGATATTTTATGAACACTATGTTATCTATTTCAGTAATTTTAAGTTTATCATGAGGTATAATGTTATGATTATAGAATAATAGTTTGTAATAATATTGTTTGAACATTTTCCAACCAAAACGTAACATCTGTATTCAATTTTGAATAGATATCTACGATGGATTAACTACAATGATTATTAATTAGTTAACACTACTTATAGGTAATGAATAATGACTAAAATGTATCGTAATATTTTTTTCTCATTACATGTTTTAGTAATACAATTGTACGTAAAACGTCTGTCTAGCTAAAAATTAAATAAATCAGAATCATATTTTTGCTTATTAGTAGGTAGGTACGTCTAGGGATTGAAAATTCGGTACAGTCAGTTATAGGTACACAGACACTGATTATATAACTTGCTGAATTACCTAAATTCCCATGAAAACATTTTGGCTGAGGCATAGTTTTTAATGGATAATATCTTACACTATTTAAAGCCTAGTTTAGCGTAACTATTGATTAATATTTTCCTTCAGGTAGTCCCATAAGAAGTATGATTAATTTTAATCCACTACTGAACATTTTATTTATTCACCGATTCATTGAAATGGAAGATGGCCATTCACTCTAGAAAAAAAGTTGATTCTCATGGATCTGGTTCAATATTTCTTGGAAGAAAAATCATGTGGTTTTAATAGTTCAGTGAATTCAACTCTTCTCTAATCAAAATCTTTTATGGGTGGAATCATAAATCTTGATGTAAAATTCTGCTTTATGAGCAATTTCATGTTTCTGGGCATATTACGACGAGGTACTGAATCATGACACATATGAGATAAGATCTTATATACTATAAGATTGAAGTGCGACCGGTGGGCCTGCTGGGTAAAGTGCGGATGTCAAAGCCACGGTGTTCTCCGGATCAAACATGGTAACAATTGACAACAACACGACTCTACTGACACAATGAGACCCTTCCCAGGTTCTGAAACTCACTATACAGAACTAATCAATTTTTCGAAAACTATATTATATGTTTAACCACAACTTGCTTAACCAGGTTAAGCATGTAAAGGGTTTGAAATTACTTAAATACTTTAGGTACACATTAGATTCAACGAAAACCATTTTTTTTCTTTTGTAAAAAATATGTAGTCAAGGCCGTATCTGAGGGGGTCCAGGGGTCCGGACCCCCCCTGAAATTTTCAAAAATAGAAACATTTTAGCGGTGAATATAGTTTATTAACTATAAATTGTATTAAATAATAATGTTAGACTCCCTCCAAATTTTTTTTCCAGTACGGCCGTGTATGTAGTGATAAGTAATAACTGTGTACTATAGATAGGTATTTCCAATTGCAATAATTTACCTCTGTGGCACTGTCCATTATTGATTTCAAAATAATTTCGTTTGAGATGAAGATGAGGTAAGTGAAAATTTAACAGGGGGAAGCGAAAAACAATTTTCCAATGAACAAATCGAAAATGTATTGGATTTATCATGTTGCGTATTTTTATATATTTATTTATTTTTGTGTATTTTTAGAAGATTTCGACCTGCAGAATGATTACTCTGATCATCAATTTTTTTCTAATAGAATATAATTTATTCTATACATTTAATGTTGTTTAGTTGGTGCAGTTTAGTTAATCAGTAAGTAATTTTTTGAATTCTTAACAGTTTTCAAAATAATGGTGAAGCACTGGCGAAAGAGTACAAAAATGCAACTTATTCGGATTACCGGTTTTTGAAAAAAATCGACGGGGATGATAAATTGGAACCCAAATGACCTTTTATCGTTGAATTGGATTCCGAAAAAAGGGTAATAAGTAAATAAAATAGTCAGAAAATAACTGAATTTGTTTGTCATTTGATTTTATGGTCATTAAATTTTTTGCAAAATATCCATTATCTTCTATAGCAGTGTTTCGCAGAACCTAAAGGGTTCCGTGAGCTTGAGCAAAGGGTTCCGTGAGAAATTTGGGAAAATATAAATTAATTAGCAATATTTTGATATGAACATAGAACTCAATATAGAACTGGAATTGTCACATTTCCCGATGTGTGGTGCGTAGTTTGTAGCTTTTCGGCGTATACAAAGACTAAGAATAAGTTTCAAAATCAACTGAACGCGGCTCCGGACTTACGAATTCAACTTTCAGGAATAACTCCAAATATAAAAATAGTTATGAAAAGATTCCAATCTTCTCATTGAATCTATCTTAGAGATAATGAGAGATAAATATTAAATTTTAAGCATTGATATGTATGAGTACATTTATAATATTGTAATAGTAATAAACAAAGCCGTCTTGTTTTTTTTATATTAATGACACTCTTGTGACGGAAGTGTCCGGTTAGTGTCCCACTCATTTAAGTATACAAAACATATGTCTGTATTAATATTATAGAAAAAATATTGGGGCTCCACAAAACGTTCAATCTCCTGCTAAGGTTCCGTGAGTAAAAAAGTTGGGAAACACTGTTCCATAGGTCTTAGAAATGGCAAACCAAAAAAATATTTGAAAAATTACTTTTTCTGAGTTTATATTTTTGTATGAATGATTAAACCAAAAGCTTGCTTTTACTATCTCTTTCCTCCCTGGGCTCAATTTATCGTTTTTAAAAGGTTTAGACATTTTCGCGGACCCAATTTAACTAGACCCAAAATCGAAATTCTTTTTGTTGTAACTGAAAAAAAATCTTAACGACTTAAAATATTCTCTGAAAGCTTATATCACTGTTGATTATTCTCCTGAGATAAAATAATATAAAAATATTTTGATTTTTAAGATTATTTTCACATGCATTTTAACTAGGTGTTAGATATCCAATTTATCTAATGTAGCTCAAAATATTTTACTACCAGGAAAATATGTCCTCTTCAAATGTTCTATAATTCTAAAATTAAAATAAATTAATCCCACTCACAATATCTCATAAAATCTAAATAGTTTAGGAGAAAAAAATTAAATAAAAATATTAATAAAAAATATTATTGTGATGAAATGTATTATATATATTTCTTTTTGAGAACAATGAAACATTTCATAATATAAATTTATTATTTTTATGTTATAACTACTTGAAATATTTCATTCTTACAGTTATATATACCAAGTTATAGAAAATATTGAGTTTTCACTTTAAGATAATATTTTCTAGTTAGTTGAATTTTCAACATTTTTAAAACGATTGAATGATCCTTTTTTTTTATAAAAATTTAATTTTACAGTTATTGATTATCTAGGCTAAATATGTAATACAATTTTTACATATATTTCGGTATAGGTACATTTGTAAGCAGTAATATAGTATATATTTATTATAGAATGCAACATAATAATAATAATATTAATTTTTTTCAATTATAATATGACAATAAAAAAAATGTTAACTATTCGTATTTACATAAGTTGGTCACTTCCAATTTTCATGTGTGTGGAAGAGAGAATTCAATCGTATTTGTATTTGTATTTGTATTTGTATTCGTAATATATATTGATCGATATAAGAATTGTTCACTGTAAATAATTAAAAATTAAATTAAATTAAACAAATTAAAAATTAAAATATAATATACATATATATATACTAATTAACATGTGTCCGATAATGAATGTATATTAGTAGGGCATGTCGATTTTGGGTTTAGTAAACATATTTTAATGTTTTTTTTGTTTATATATTTTGACAATAAATATATTTAAATGATAAATGATAAAATATATGATTTACGTATTTAAACATCATTAGAGCATTTCAAATTTCACCGGCCGGTCGAACATTTTTTAAAATTATTACTATTTTTAATACTACCGAACGTTCGTTGGCAATTTAATTTAGTACGCCATCGCATGCAACGTTTTTTATAGTTGGTATAATATCGTGAACCTAATGTTATGTGTTATACGATTTGTTCAATCGAATGTTTGGATGATTTCGACTCAACGGGCATCCTACGTAGGCCATAGATTATTATTAAATAACACACGCACTGATTTTTCGGGAAATACGTTTTCCAACCGTTCGCGCAGATAATGAACCTTTCATTTTTCGTTTAGACGTGAATTGTCTTACGCGAAAACGAAGAAGTAATTGTTCGTCGTGCCCGATCAAGACGCGCGTGCAGGTACAAACTCGTACGGAAACACATACGGTGCACACTACCATGCTGTAGGTAGAAACGCGCGAGTACACACACACACACACACACTCTGTCGAAAAAAAAAGATGAGCGACCGACTGGCGGCCGCGGTGTACACATTTTGTGGAGCGGTCGGTTTCAGTTTTGGTCTTGGCGTTGCACGTGCCGGGCCTTATCACCGTCGACATGTCGGCCGATGGACACGTGCCTTGCGGTTCCCGAAAACACTAGCTTATTAATATTGTTCGTTGCACGCGACGACCAACATATTTGTCGTCGGTCGGTAATTTTTTCCTCGAAAGTTTCGACTTTTTTTTTACTCGTCGCATTCCTTTTTGGAAAACCGTCAATGGAACAGTAGTACCGCGACAACACGAAAAGTTATGGCGTCGCGAAATTCTGCGAACTTTTGGTGAGTATTGTTATACGTAAATATTCACGTGGACATAGGCGAACGGGTACAATTCGTTCGAAAAATACGTTTTTCGCGTGCATGTAAATTGTACCAGGTTTAGAGGAGGAATGAGCGAGTGATATTTTTACGGTCCATTTTTCAAAACGGTTATCTAATAATAAATGCAAACAAAAAACGTTTTATTTTTACAATTTAATTCTTCTACGTGTAACTAATAAATTAATAGATTATTTCAAATTGTCGTATGTTTAACCATCATAATCAATTCTATTATTTAATGTTATATAACAAAATACCTATGCTATTTTTTTTTTTGACTCCATTGTATTTTAATAAATTGTAATACATTTTCTTCATTCTCGAATCCTATTAGTATTGAATTTAGACAGAAAATAAGTGGATTGAATCACATTATAATATTTGGTTTTACTATTCTGTGAATTTCGATTTATTTCTTTTGGTTATTATACAGATTTAAGTACCGGGTTTTTGTTGTAAAATATTGCTCATCACTTTTACTTTATTATTTTTTAAAATATAAAAACTCGGAAAAAAAATATTACCTTAATATTTTGTTTATATTTTGTTTATACGAGTATACTTGAATAGTCTATTGAATTTTTTAATCGTTATTTTATTAATAATATCGTACATATTCGATATACTTACAGTACATAAGGGTTACCAGTCATAAAATACATTTCATTTTTCTGTTAATAATAACGTTTAGAATAATATTTTCAGTGTGCTGTGTTACTGTTTCGTGTTAATCGTCTTAAATTGAATGGATGGCTATCGCTGACGTATCGTAATATTTATTTTTTAAACCAGTACCGAAATGTTGATTTGTTATGTGTAACGGGAAATTGGCATGTATCGGGTGGATTATTCACAAAATAATTATAATAATTATATTTCGCAAATTTCATCGAAATGACTTGCTATAGTCATTATTATAATACTGGTTGTAAATGTAAAGGATAACGGTTATTTTTATTATGTACTCTTTAAAAAAAAATCTAATTGACATTGTTTCTTTTAAAAATTGTTTATTTATTTGTCTGTTTAAAACTATTTACTAAAAACAATACAAAAACTAATTTAAATTAGCCGTTTAACTGTTTAAAGGGTTGTATTATATTATATGCGTAAATACATGATATAGATGTGAATATTTGTTTACATTGGGGTAGGGAGAAAGTTCCAAGCCATGTTATAGATATTTTGTTATAGATAATGTAGTGAATTCGACTGAAACGATAGCATGTATACTGTTTAGTAAAATATATTGAATATTATAGTGAAAATATAGTGCAATTTCACGGTCAAATGGAATTCGAAAAAATGCTGTTAAAACATAGTGTTTTAACAGTTAATCATTGGTGTTCCTTGTTCAGTGTGTTAATTAGAATTAAAAAACAATAATAGCACGGTTATTTACGTACTTAGTGGTGTGAACAGTGATCTAATTGCACATGGTATTTTTTTATATGTATTCACACTCTCGCATACGCACATATATACACACACATTATACGCAGTTGTGTGTACCTACGTTTGCTTAGCACCCAAACGGATTTCCGCAAAACACGCCCAGTGGTTTATGCTATAGTGGAAATGAAATTCGAATTTATTGCACACCCATTTTTATTATTTAAATAAACAGTACATCAGTATATAGTTGGGTTCTTTGTCTTTTATAATAACGAACAATATAAAAAAAAAATTTACCCTCGAGCCAAATAGTTTGTTGTATAAACAATAACTAAGCCCCGCAATGGTTGCAGCTAAGTGTAAGGTATACAATTTTTGGGGTTTATTGATTTCACATCGTACACGATTGTTACCGAAAGATATTTTTTTGTTACAATGATTTAACGGCTTTGTATCTAATGTTATTTTACTCTCGTGACAGTAGGAAGACCCTAAACTATTTGAATGTAACAATTAATGATTCCCTCAAAAACGCATGCTGTTTAGTTCAGTTCAGCCTCTATTTTTGTTTGATGAAAATATTCTAAACTAAGATTTTGTACAGTTGAATTTTATTTAACATTATATTGTTAAAAAGAAGATCTTTTGTGAAGTAGGTAATATTTTTTTATGCGGATAAATGGTCGGGATCTTATAATGTATTATAGAAGGGTCTTACAAAATTCATAAGCCTCAGAATAATATTATATTCTATATTCTATATATTATTAAAACATTTTTTCACCTACAGATTGTGATTGAGCAAAAATACGTTAAAACCTTCAAGTCTCGTTCAACTCTTTTAGGATTTGTAATAAAAAAACTAAATTCTGATTTTTGAATGCAACACGTAAGCAAATAAAAATATAACTGTATTATTTATTTAATATAACCATTTTAAAATGCATTCCATTGTCCATATTATTACACTCGTAACAAGATTTAATCACATTGGGCTTCTAACGAAGGAGAGTTTCAAAATTATTGTACAGTAGAGTGTAGACAATTTTTGTCGGACACTACATACATAACTACGCTAACATCATTAGAAGTTTTATCGCCTCATGTAATATAATTATTATTTCAACAATGGAAAATTACATTATATCAGATAAGGAAGTTAAAATTATCGGAGGAAATAATTGCATCTAGTAAAATAAAAAAGATACCTGTGCCTTTGTTGGCTTAAGTTTCTGCACTGCATATTCTTAATTTTATTAACTTTTCAATAACAAAATAAACCAGTAAAAACTTATGTATGGTTTTATAATACTTTTGTAGTCAAATCATACTTTTGAATCAATCGTTTTGCAAGTATTCTTATTCAAATAACGATTAGGTTCGTGTAAACATAGCTATTGTGATAGTTTATAAAGTTAAATGCGATTTAAATTACCATGTTTCACGTTTATCAAGGTTTATTTAATTAATTTTGATTTAAATATTACCATACAAAAACCGACAAATATATAAATTTATAAATTTACTTATTTTTATGACAAGATGGGAAAATTAATATTCATTTATTTTTTTACTATACAAGTACGAAACAATAATTGATGAACATTTTGATTAATTCTCAAGGAGCGTATAAAATATATATACTACTTTTTGAATAATTTATGTTTTCGATTTTAAAATACATTTAGATTAAAAATTAAAAATATACTTTAGAAAAAAGTAGGCACATATAAATATACTTTATTCAGAATCCATACATAAATACTTGGATACTCATAGTTTAATTTCTGATTTGTTCTAAGTTTTTAGATATGTATTAAATAAAGAAAGTCAATAAACCAATCATTATTATATAAGTTTTAGGATTACATATTTTATCAGTATTTACAAATTAAATTTTATCACCGTTTGGATTATTTCGAGAAATTTGGATGTTTTCGCTAAAAAATTCAATTAGGTTTTCATTATTTGTGCCCACAATTCGATTTTATTTTCAACTGCCTCGAGAGTATAGTAAATAAACATTTACAATAAAACTTAAAAGCCAATTACCGAACCATTTATATTTAACTTATAAAATTTCATTGTGTTTGTTATACATTTTTGAACATACCTGAGAATGATGCAATTTTTTTTTATCCTTAGGTGATTATTGACCCATTTTCAAAATACTAGTGGTTTATGAATCCGTCTGATTTGACTTAAAAACTATTAAATATTCATGTTAATTGAATAAAACGTGTTATACAAATACTGCTAAAACTGCTATACATATGTAATATATGTGTATTATTAACATTTTTGATTTAAATAATATTATTTTTTAATTAGGTGTATTATACTTCGTGTACACTGTAAATATTTTACTAGACAATTATTTAAAATTGCTATTTTAATTATACTTTATCATTTTTCTACAAGTTATAACTCTCGATATTAAAGTTATGGATTATGGTTGATCAAAAACGTTTATTTAATTTATAATCACATAAACTTATAATACCTACAACATTTGTGATTTTATAAATATAAATTAAGTCCGTTTAAGTAATTTTTAAATTGTTCTTATATTTATAAAAATGTGTTGGCCTTTACAACTCAATATAGTTCATTTGCATAACATAGTATCAACGTTTTGAGTTTTTACTACTTTCTGATCACTATTGTGTTTATGTTTTTTTTTATTTACAATCTAGAATCAATATCATAATTTTTGTTTTCTTTTTTCACAATATTATTATTATATTATGAGTTTTAAGGCGTTGTGTTGTAAGGATTCTTGTATTGTTGATGTGCGAACTACATTAATAGTCTTATGTAATATTGGCACTCATCACGTTTTCATTGATGTTTTCGTGTAGATCTTTATGCGATACAAAAAATACAACCGAACATAATAAAACTAATTACTACAAATTGCCTGTTATTAGAATCAAAAACCTAAAACATATACTTAATGTGTTTGTACCAAGTTACAAAATTTAAAACATCTAGTTATAATAAAGAGCTTCATAAAATGTGAACATTATTTGCCCGTAAGGATTTTATAGAAATTCGAAGGATTTTAGATATATGCAGAAACATAAAGATATAGAATGTAAATATAGTTTTATAATCAAATATTTCAAAATTTATTGCCATTTAATTAATTGCTATTGTTAATAATTTTCTTTCTTTGTTGACAATTTTGTTTTAAATAATAAAAAAATATTTTATTTATAGATATTTTAAAACTTAAAATATTTTCATATCAATTAATTTATGTGATACTTGAATAATATATAAGATTATTAGAAAAATATATATGTAATAAATATTGAAGAAGATAAATGTGTGTAAAAATGTAATAAAGTAATTAAGTAATAAATAAAAAATTGGAAATTATATTTATGTATCTACATAAATATTTAAAACCGAATTAAAAATATTTATCAACGGGTTATTGAGTCAAGGGCTACAATGAAATTCTAAATTTAGATGGTCTTACCATAATGTACACAATAAACTATTTATACATATCATATTTTGAGTAATTTTGTAGCATTTCCTTAACCAAACATATTTGAGAGACCGGATATTGTTAAAATAAAATTTATCGTAAGTATTTTACTTAACTCACACAATTATTAAATACATAATTATTTTAATTATTGGCCATTATAAAGGCCATTATAAAAAAAGGCCTTTGCGAAAAATTTGATAAAGTTTGATTATGGTTGTATGTTATATTACAATATTATAATTAATTAACAACATTTAATTTTTATTTTAAACTATAGTTAATATTGTCAAGAAAAATTACAGATTAATAAAATTACATATAAACATCACTTTGGAAAATTAAAATATTTAATGGGATATAAAAATGTTTTTTATGCGTCACGTTTTTGATTAATAATAACAGTACATTGTTATAAGTGTTATTATAATATGATCTTATTATTTGAAATTCAAATTATACTTTAGCAGCTAACATACTTAATATACTTGCGTTACCTACTTCATATAATATTAAATTTAGACAAATTGTAGTCTAAGCGCCACTTATTGACTCCAGGTAATGATATGGTTTTTATGACATAAACGGATTTATCAAATTTAAAACGTGTAATTTCCGAAAATCATAGTCATCATATCCCACGCATTATTGAAACGTTTTCTTATATTATTGAAATTAATCCTATTTATTATGAGTAGATAAATTATGAGAAACTATATGTGGTACGTAATTAAACTTAAATGTTTTAACTATTTATTTGTGATGTAAAATGTATTTTTGTTACATCTTTGAAATTAATTCATGTAATTAATGTTAAATAAATTGTTAATTTTCGCCTTAAACATTAATATTTTTTTATTTAATTATTTTTAATACAAATTTTTTTTAATTTTTAAAAGTTGTACCAAGCCTTTATTGGATTTCATTAGGTATACATTTTTTTCAAACATATGATTTTCATGAACAGTTTACATTGTGTACATTTTACTGGAAAAAATTACATTTTTTTTAAATTGTATAGAACTAAATTACTTACCGAAGACCAACCCACAACTATACAAGTTATTGGTAGCATATCTAATATAACAAATGTAATTTCTAGTTTTTAAATAATGTATATAAGCTTATAAATAAAATACTATAATTTAAATCTGAATGTTACTAATGTCTTCAATAATAAATATTGTTTTGAGTTTTAGTTATTATATGCAATGTTTGACAGGACTAGATTGTTAATAACTGGACAAGTAGCGGTTTGGAATAATATTTGAAATATATAAGCAATAACCTGGAGTATGTGGGCGTCGGTTTAGAACGAGACGCCTTCGATTCTAATAAAATTAATATCATATACATTTTTTTTGAAATGCCAATGGCCAAAATAAGAAAATATAAATAGTGCAATTGAAAATTTTTTACTCTGCGTGAGAATCAACAATTGTAATCATTTCAGCACAACAATGTCGGTAACAGTGGGCGTTTTCACGGTTTCTATATTCTTCTCCTTCCATCATATTTTTATTAACCATGACTTGTGTTACACTCAAATACCCTAATGAGATGCACACTCACATTGTAATAAACTGTCTAAACAAATTACTTTATGATCATTTTGTGTAATTACAGTAAATATTGACAAATTGAAATAGCTTAAAAATACTGATACAAAAACTTGCATAAATAAAAAAGAACATCGCTCATGAATTTCATTGTTGATGAATACATTAAGTTTTTTTTTTTGTAGACCCAAATGATATATTATATTATATTTATGCAGAATATAATTATATCCGTTAATTTTACTTAAATATTTAATTTTAGTTATGCCGTTTTTAAAAAATTCATCATTTTATTTATTTTTCCTCGAAAAATTATATTATTTGTGGTTAATCAATACTTTATTATAAATTAAAATATTTAATATTTACATAAGTTTTTTAGAGATGTTTATGGTTTTCATAAGTCTTTATTATTTTAAATTATCCTTATTACACTTAGAGTGATTTTTAATTAATCATTATTTTATTATTTTGCAGGTTATTTATAATATTGTTAATCTCGATTGAAGCCCATAACTCAAGAGTAGCTAGTCTTGAAAGATACCCAACGCAATCAGGATTAATTGCCGTAAGTAATTACTTATCATCTGTTAAAAAAAACATTTATTTATATGTTTAACAAGTAAATTAATTAATCAGTTAAATTAAAATGATACGGAGAGACTTATATTTATCTTTCTATAATCTAGTCATGTAGAAATAATATTATCCTATTATTGTGTTGTAGGAAATAATTAATATTCTTTTGATGATTAAATGTTCGTGGTCTAAACATAATTTTGTTTATTAAATAAATTAAGATGATTTAAAATATTATTTTTTTTTCTCAATTGTATAGCAATGTAAACCCATGCACGAAATAATATATAGAAAAAATTATGTTATTCTAAACTGTTGTTACATTCATTATTCAAATAAAATAACATTTTTGAATCTTCATTTATATAATAATAGTCATATATTTTAAAAGTATAATACATACGGAGATGATAAAAAATAATCATTTAAAATAATTATTACTTCATGTAATTCTTACGTATTATTTTTTGTACATAGTCAGTATAGAAATATAATTTTTTATGGTACGATTGCTGTGGTTTTACAGTTTTATGATATTACGGAACATCATATGTAGGTACATTGTACGTGTTTCAATACACAAAACAATCAAACCAGAGGGAGGCGTTTTTGAAGGTTTTGATATTGTATATGAAATTACATGCTTACGATTTTTTTCTCGTATATGGTTTCATCAATAATACATATAGTAAATAACCAAAAAATAATTAACCACCCAACGGGTGTGTAATGTTGAATGAGAAAATAAATGCTTATGCAATGTTTACCAATGGAACGAGGCACAACGTGAGCCAATGGATTGTCAAGCTAGTGATAACTTCTTCTTGGAATTAAAACTGCTCATTAGAAAGTCATTGCACTTGAAACATCTTCTGTCCGCTGAAGATAAATAAGTAATTGAAGTAAATAATAGACTTTAACTATAAAGAGGCTAACCTTGAACGTTGTACAAAGTTTTATTTATAATCATTAATATTTGTTGGGGTGATTTTTGGTTATTTCAACAGATACATATAAGTTTTAAAAACAAAAATAATTTTTATTTTTTACCATTTAATATATTTATATTTATTTAAAATTAAATATTAACTATTTTTTTAAATTGTAATGTATTGGTATTGAAAATTAGTATGTAAATATATTAAATAAATTTACATGCGCTCTTCATGCCATGTTTATATTTTCAATACACCTTGAAGAGCACATTATCTAGGTAAAACTAAATATTTTTTACGTATTGATAATTCTTTTGAAATATAGAGGGCAAAAAATTATATTTTTAATTCATTATTTTATTGTTCATATAACTTTTAAAAATTTAAGTAATTCGATAATTCGGAATTTGAATATTTTGTTTACTTATATGGCTCTGAAAATAGTACATTAATTATGGTCTTTATTCATGTATAAAATGTTTTATCATTTAAATTACAACTTACAATTCTTAATAATTCAAAAATTGAAATGCAATTCAATATTTACTCGTAGTTGTTTTTTACTTGAAAAAGGCTAACATTTAATGAATTTAAACTATCATTATAACTTATTTATATTAACTATGATGAACACATTTAACTTAACAACTGAAATGGTTGGAAGTACTTCTATAATGTGTGTTATCTGAAGTGTCTTTTCTGAAAATAAAAAAATAAATAAAGGTAAATATTCAATCTGTAACATATTTTTTAAATTTTTTTATGGGTGATGAGAACAGTATTTCATCCCCTCAAATTAAATTAAAACACTGAAAAACTTATACTTATTGAGTGTTTACCATTCACTCAAAATATATAGAAACTATAAATTATACTTAATAATCGAATTTTTGATAATGATTTTAAGTTACAATATATTTTTCAATGATAATGTGTTTACAAGTTCGTCAAACAAATTTTTTTGAAGCAACATTTAATTAAAATATATATGCATGTTTGATTGATGTACCATTTTGTCATAACTGTAATGAACGGTACGTCGTTTTATTTTGATTATTCGAAATATTTCATTTCTAAATAATATTCGCATTGTAGAATATCAGAATCATAGTCAAACAGCTTTTGAAATGTGGTTCTGTTCGATTGATCAAACTCGTAAACATTGGGTTTTCATTTTCAATAGCAACAGCTAAAATAATTCTGTTGGATACATTATTTGGGTATTACTGCTTAACTTTCAAATAGCGCGTATTATGCAAATTAATCAACGTGGCTACTTGTTTTTGTTTTTTTTTTTAGTTTATGTATTTAAATTCAATCTGTTACGGAATTTTTTTTTTTGCATTTTATTAGTTTCGTAAACGATTAATGTTTCAAACAGTAGTGCAGCTAATCGCGATAAACACGCAACTGCTATGATCAGGTGTCATGAATCATTCGTTGCGGTTTAACTCCGCGTGTATGCATCCGATCGCGTACACACAGCAGTAATAATTTATGACGTGGTGACTCCACATGGGAACTTAATATTATAATAACGTTACAAAAAGATATAATAAAAATAATAATTTCACGCACTCGTCATCACGTATTTAAGGAAGATGAAAATGTGTACAAAAAGATTGGAAACAAATAGTATACTTACATGAACGCACATATCATTATTATAATATACAAATATACAAACACGATTTGTTTACGTTTGTCGGAGTCGTCTCAATGATTTATGCCGCAGTGGAAAGCTAATTTAACCGTCGTCAGTTCGGTCGGTTGCGTGAGGATCGGTTACAGGTTTTGCGCTGCAGGCGTATATGTTTTTTTTTTTTAAATTTCTTCATTATCGTCAGTGATTAAGATGCTTAGCACGTGGGTGCTCGCCGATTAACGATGTGCTTTTTTGATAACGCGCGCTTTAGCTTAGTCGAAATTTCAAATGTTTTGTTGTGCGAAGAAACTGCATCATCCTTGGAGGTCGACGATATCATTCGGACAACAGTTCACTATACGTTGGATGAACACGTGCTGTGGGAGTCACCGCTGGCAATCATTCATCAAAATATTATTTTAGTACATTTTAACTGGGTTTATCACATAGAAATCAGATTTATTCATTCAGAATATAAAAAATGAATAACATTATATTAAAGGACTGTTTTTTTTTTACGGATTAATAAAATAAATGTATTTAATTTGTATACAAACAGTAATATCATGTTGACAATGATCAAAATTATAGGTTTAGAAAGGTGCTCGATGATTTACAAATACTGTGGAGATTGGAGGAAATTTTCGTCGTTATAAAATCCTATGTGGGTTATCATGGGAGGTATTAACTTAAATTTAAACAGTTTAGAATGAAATCATATTTTTCTTTTTCCATCCAAGTATAGTATTTAGCATATGCAGACATAGCAGGTTGTACCAATTCATATTCAAATCTAATTACTTCCATTACATGATTATAGTATGACATTATTATATGTATTTTATAAAAAATGTAAGGGTCTTATTTTTTACGGATTTCTATTAACTTTTACTTAGTTTTACATTTTCAATATTTCATGTCAGTATTTTTCAAAAACTTACGATTTACGATGATTCCTGTGAAAGAAATTAATTCAAATATTATATTACGATATTCCGATAATAATAATAAATGTATGACTTTTTTTTCATTTAAATTACAATATTTATATATTATTAATTTATTTTTATTTTCTAAATTCATCTACAAAAATGGTCTTGTATAAAAATAAAAATTTGGATAGATGTGTATATATTGTGTTAACATTTTATTGTTTAAGAAAAAAAGTGCAGCACATTAATATCGATGCAAAATAATTTGTTATGAATAGATCGATTGGATTTTTCATTTTATTTTTTAAAATTCTTATAGAATAAAGTAATTAGTAGATAGATATAAAATTCGTGTGAAATATCCATAGTAAATGGTTCTAATTACTCTAATTTTAAGGTGTTGAGTCTTTTAATTCCCGTATAAAAGGTTTAAAAATCAAGGATGAGTTTAAAATCAAAACATAAAATGTCATTTTAAATTTTTAGTTTTGATTCATTATACATAGACGATGAAAAAAGTTTAACAGTAATTCACACATTTGTAGAATCTATACAGTTATTTATAAAAGTATAGTTTTAAGTTAAGTAGTTTAGTAGTAGGTATTCGTGGCCAAACGGAATTTGGTTTATTATTATAGAGTAATAGAGTTCAAATGATCTGACTCGTCGAGATGGTCGTATATCGAGAGCATATTACTCTGTTATTTGGGCGGAATAATTTCGTATTAAAAGGTTGGACCGGATCCAATGTTGTTTTTTGTTCCTATTATATTTTGTCAATCCAGTGAGCCATGACTGGTAGTTTGTCAATGTTGACAGGTTCGCTTATGACTCCATTTATAACGGAGCATTTTTTCTTTTTAATTTATCAAATTTCACTTCACCGGCGACATATCTATTTTCGATACAATTAAAAAAAAAACGCACTTCGTGTGTGCACGAAGGGAGTGTCATAGTTGTTATTGACGTCGTAATAATGTATGCAATTTTTTTTCATTCTTAGACCAGCTTAAAATTTCAAAAAATAATGCAATCATTTTCATATGCTTATTAATTCTTATAATATTTAAAGATGTCTATTTTATCAAAACCAACGTGGTATAAAATGTATGATTTTATTTTAATACGTATAGACTTTTGAAATAAGTAAACAAATTAAACTTCAAAATTATAATTTGTTGACATTTTTAGTTAACAATGCACATCGACATGTAACCTGATTCTATTAATATACGTATGCAAATTATTATTTAAATTTTTTACATTTAAATCTGCATAAAAGATACTGTCATTTGATATTAACTATGTACTTAGTATTTTATTCTGATAGAGGATGTATAACTTATAACTCATTTCTATTTGCATTTTATTTTAATTTTATAAATAAGAAATCATTGATTTGGATTAATATGCACTTTTGCTTAAAATAAATTTTAAAAAGTATGTGTAAATACTTAATACTTAAAATCAATTTGATTTGGTAATTTGTAACATGTAGCTTCAATAAAATATAGAAAAAAATGTTTAAATGTTTAAAAACGAATGTTTCTATGAAAGTACTGAATTCATTTAAAACTAAATTTAAATTAAAAATGTATCATTTGTAAATTTTATACGATTGTAGGATTAAACAATACACTGTTCTTATTTTTAGTAGTTAGTTGTTAATTTTTTGCTTTATTTTAGGATCACCCACTTGGATTATGGATTTATAATATAATTTATTATTGTAGCCAATAATATCATAGCATGCTCATTTGTGTTCGGTATATAGTAATTAATATATAATATTTCGTACTATCTAGTGTAATATATGTATGTGCCGTGTGTATTAGTGTATCTGTATTAATTTAAATGCATCCGTATTTGCTAAATACTTATCTAAATCTAAATAATGGTACTTCATATTATTAATATGTGTTGATTTATGTATAATATAGTACACATTAATCTTTAACAAATAACTATTAACTATAATGATAATAATATTTGTAAATTGTTAAAAAAAAATGTTACCGAAACAATTCAATGGAGAGTGTACTGTTATGTCTATTTATGATTAAAAGTAAATCATTGGTATTTCACTTAGAAATTTAGAAATCTTAGTATTAAGTTCATATTATAAATATTTAATACTAATTAGGAACGAATAATTACATAAAAATGTTTTATTTAAGGTAATAAATTTAAAATTTAATTTGATATCTCAAAATTCAAATGATATATTACTATTTTGCTGTGATGAAGTTTCATTTAAAATTAGATAAATCAATATGTAATTATCTAGTGGCGCCAGTAATTTGAGAAAGTATAAGTTAAAAACTATCAAACTGACGTTTAAAAATAAAACGGATTATACAGTTGTACGCTTCCTCCCACCATTAGATTTTGTCATTTAATTCATTGTTTTATTCGATCATTGGCGTCCACGTCCATTGTTCTCCAATTTTGGTACTCGAAAAGAAGCATCCCAATTGTGTATTATAAGTTTTCGATATTTCATATATCATTTGCGAGATTCATGTACAGGAAGTGTTCAGAATGTTAAGTGCAATGTCGCGTTGTTGATCGTTGACCCGTAACTGACTCCACCTGATGATACATACACTCGGGCGCACACGACATGCACTCTTTAATGTGCCTTTTCAGTCTCTTGTCTAAACTGTTTTAAATATACACGTGTTTACACAAGTTGTTTTTTACGTCTTTAATTGTTTTATTCCTGCGTGGTTTAAACAGCCACGATTATATTTCATGGACTAGAATAGAGAGGTAGAAATTATTTTTGTGAGGGTTGCACATTGTTTATAAATGTATATATACAAAAATCTTAAACTTTAATTGGATGAATATGCGTAAATATTATAATATTTTTATTTTATTTTCGTCAAAATCATAAAGTTCAATTTGCTAATAAATCGATTAGTTGTTAGAGTTTTATTCCTATAGATTTTATATAAATTAACGAATTCATAATGGTAATTTAAGAATTTTGACAAATTAATAGAACTAAATATTAAAGAAAAGAAACAGGAAAATTCAATGATTTGAAAAAGAATTTCTTTCCTCCCTCGTATAATCGCAATTAGTCTTAAATGTTTTAAAAATAAATAAAGTATGAAATAGGATTTTTGTGTTTGTTGTACATACAGTGATGTTCATAGGGGTGATCCGTCAAAATATCTTTGCTAAAAATATCTCCATTTAAAATATCACAATTTAGAAAGTGAAAAATTTAAAAAATATATTTTTTATCAAAAAGATAGTAGGTACCTACACATCGAAGAGATATTCCATCTTTTTCGTATTTGAGAATTCTCGAGCATAAACATGAATTATATTTTGTGTTTTATTATTTTGTAATTTATTTATTTCATATATATATATATATGTATATATATAAAAAAATAAATAAATAAAAAAAAAAAGCAATCAAGGTGTTTTTCTTGGACATAATTTTCCAGAATGTATTTCGACGTGAATATTACGATAGAAATATTTTGTTTTAGAGTCGTTTTTAGGCGCCCTTCGTCGCAATTTACGTTGGTCGTTAGAGAACAGAGCGGTGGACAGTATAGTCGGTTGTTTTGTCCGTGCGCATTAATAAACATTAACGCCTACACTCGGTACTCATTGTTCACATGTATTATGTCATTATGCGTGTATGTGATTTCATGTTCGAAAGATCTATAGGTTGGTACCTGCAGACAATCTGAACAAATCAATATGGGTTAGTCATGCGTGTATGCTTAGGAGCCATTGAGCAAGAAAAGAAAAAAATCACATTTTCCCATTATACTAATTAAAATAAGAACCATCTTATACTAACTTATATTATACTAACCATCTTATATTAACCTATCTTATTGAGGCTCAAATCAAAATAATAAATCAATCGTTTACCATACTTATTGCGTATTTGGTTTATAATTTAATTGATTTTTGAATGATTTAAATTAAGAAAGACGACGAATCTATCGGAGGACTATACCACTGTACGCAACACATGTGTATATATAAACAACAGAAAATTATTAGAAGCACATTTTAGGTCTCTCTTATTTGATTTTAAAAATGTATAAATTATTATCGATGGCATTAAATTGTTGTAGTTATATTTACAATATATTAGAAAAACGTAATTTATTGGTCGGGTGAGATGCAGAAATTAGTGTATCATTGCTTTTGAAAAAATAACTGTTGAGCAAAAGAAATCTAGTAGATAGTTTAGGTATTCTAAGATGGTTGATATTGTAGTTATTAAAATAATTTGTCAAGCCAAAGTTTTGTTTGATTAAATTAAAAATGAAGATTCTTTTAAATAATTTTTAATGATTTTTTTTTCTTCATATGATTGTAGTGTATTTTTATAAAATTAACTTAAAATAGTAATATTGATAATATAGATGTTTTTATACAAAAGGTTGATTTCACCACAGTACATTTTAATATTTTATTTCTAAATGTAAAATATTTTGGAGTAGAAAAATAAGTAATATAAGTAATAAAAAAGGTAAAATTAGATGAAATGTAGGTAAAAAAAAAAATCACATTTTGAAAAACTTTTTTGAGAGTTTTTATTTTTTATTTTAAGTTCGAAATTTTTCCATTTTAAATCTTTTTGGTTTCATTATTTTTTGTTATTATTAAGAATAGAAAAATAAATACCACTAATGATGTATGTTTTTTTTAATAATTTTGAATTTAAATTATTAGAATAATAAAACCGTAAGTATAAATGACATTTTATTAAATCGAATATAATTGTAAGAAAAAAACGTGGATGTTTTAATTATTTTAAAGTCAATACAAATTATCAATACAGAAGATTAAAATGTTTTTGAGGAGAGTACACTGTAGAGTGTAGAACTATAAGCCACCAAATAATATTTTCATATGTTCAGTATGACAATGATAATGTAAATCACGATGAACTGACATAATAATCACAAAATATAAAGATGTAGTACGCACATAATACGTTAGTTAATAATTTTCAATATTTATTTGATCGAACTCGTTATTCATTTATAAATATATATGTATTATATTATTTCGCCTTTTTTTTATATTATAAAAAAGTATACTACTTATTTATGATCATTGAGGGAATTAAGGGCTTTTACATTTATTTTAATTCTAGTAAAAAAAGTTTAGTTGACTATTATGGTCAACATAAATTATAATTGTGTTGAAACTGAAAACTTAATTATAAAGTTATTATTGTATACCTAATTATTTAAATAAAACAAATAATTTTTTTCTCCTACATAAATTTGAATTAATTTTATCTCATGCAAATATTTAATAAGTTAATAATTGAATTAATTGATAGTTGAAAATTGAAAATTGATTGATGTTTTATATTGAATTTGTTATTTACCAATAATGTATTTTGTATTATTTTTGTTTTCAGATTTATGGTAATGATAATGCCAGTGATATTCATTTTTCATGGAAATTAAATGAAACGATATTTTGGGGAGAATGGTCTCCATGGTCATCTTGGACTCCTTGTTCTACATCATGTGGTTTAGGTATCACCAAACAAACAAGACAATGCATACGAAAATCAACTAATGTTAAAAGGTAACTCATTAAGAAAAATCATCTTAAATACTTTTTTTGTTATATATTTATAACATTAAACTGAAAACTGTATTTCTGTGTATTTTTATTTATTATTAATTTATAGTTAATTTTAATAAAAAAAACTATAAATATTTGTTCATATTTTTGTAGAGTGTAGTGTTTTGTATGATAAAAAAAATATATGCATTTATGTTATTGGGTGATTTTGATTCATACTCTATGGTGCTATGACTTGAATGGGTTATAATATTATTATGAGCATAATAATAATTTTATGCTTAATTACAAATTTTCGATTTTCATTAACCATTTATAAAAGAAATTCATATTATTGATAAGGTTTTAGTTGACATTTGTCTTAAAAGTTAGATTTCGGTTTGATATTCTGTATTATTATATGTGTATGAATAAATATAGAAGTCACAAATGATACTTGAATTCAATTTTTGAAGCCATATAGATTAATTGTGTATGTTAAATTTGAGTTAAAATTGCGTTATTAAGCATTTATAAACGGATGTTAAGGCAACGCTGCATTTTAAATTTTGTAGAATTATATATATAAATATGAAATTTGCGGTATCGTTTATGTTTATGAATGGTTATGAAAATCTACACGATTTCGCAAATTTTGAGGAATCGTTCTTCACCGAAATTATATACCTTGTGATGAATTTTTATTTCGAAACCGGTTGTACTTTACAAATATAATAATACTAACCTTTTATTTATAAACTATTTGTTCATTTATTTATTAATTTACAAATATTAACCATATAATGGTTTTTAATTTTAATTGAACTTTTTATTTTATTATTGAATATTTAATATTTTTTTGACAATAAATCCAATAATAGTAATTCCTACGTATTTGATTATTTATTGGTTTGGGTTGGTTTTTTAGTATAAGTACAAATAAAATTATAGTAATTGTATGTCAGCCAAGCATTAGTATGATTATTAATATATTTTTCCAATATAAAGGTATATAAAATAAATACACAGACTATTAAATGTCGTGTACTCATTTTATTTTTTTATGTTAACATTTTTTCTGGCACTTTGTATAGCAGTCATATTCTAAAACAAGACTATCCACCTCCCTAATTGATCGTTTAGGTGCTGTGGTCGGAGATGAAAAAAAATAATAAACCATTTGCCTGGAACCTAACATTACTGTCATTAATACACGCGTATATCACGACACGTGATACACCCTATACGCTGGGTAATACTTTTAAATCCATCTTATTGTTTTTTTCCCTTCGTTCTATTTTCGTTTAGTATAACCATACGATTTTATGTTTTAATACTGCCACTTAAAAAAGTGGTCCTACATCCGATCGACCGGCGTTATCCGAGTAATGACCTCCCGAAAATCGCTCGGTGATATTGATGTTGGGGAGAAAAAACACTCCTTAGAAAATTAGTTTTACAAGTTTGGACTCGATAACAAAAATGTTTTAATAATATGTAATGGTTAAGCAAAAATAAAAAAAACTTTTCTAAATATTTGTTTGTTCATTCGTTGTAAAAGCTCAAGAAGGCTAAGTTTTTTTGACTTCTTGTCTCAGTGTCAATTCGTTAATGCATTCGGTTATAATATTATAAAATACTTTTGAAAATGAAATAGGTCTTGTCCATCAAGTATTCAGGCGCTATATCGTAAGATATATTTTTATTTAAATAAAATCCAAAACCGAATTGCATTAAATATTTTTTTTCTTGATGTATGCAGAAATATTTTCATGCGCAATTTAGAAAATATAACTTGGAATGATTTAGAACATATTAGATTTAGTAATATCACTTTTAATTTGTTTATTTCCTTATTTTCTAAATTATAACTAATTTTATTGATCTAATTAATTTAATTTAATTCAATAAACATTAAACAATGTTTATTCTATTTTTGTAAAGATTTTATTTAATTTTACATTTTCTGTTTACTCTAATTTTCCTTTAATAATTTTGAATTTATTATGCTTTAGTTTAAATTATTATACTATAGTAATATATTTTACGTTTGAAAATAAAATATAAGGGTAATGTTTGTAATTTATGTTGTTTTTAAACGATTATGGATGTGAGGAAAAAGGCAAAATATTAATAGTGTATCGTAAAAGAAAAATGAAATACGAGTATACCAATAAAATGTAATTGTTTCTTTATTTATGATTTTATCGTAATAAAAAGTAAAACTTCATTGTAGGAAATGTCAATCATATTTTATTAAATACTAAAAATGTAGTTTAATATTTTAATGTTACAAATGTATACACTTTTAGCGTTGAGTTTTCAATATTGAAACAAAAATAAAATAATGTATATAGAATTTGTGTGTTTATCAATTTTGTAATCCATTAATTATAAAATTGGTATATTAATATAGTATTATTCTAATATTTATCGAGGTTGCCTACCTTGCAGGAATGTTTTTTACAAAAGACAACGTCTGAAACGAGTGTCCAATGTGAACACCGAATGTCGAGGACCAACAGATGAAACCAGATATCACGTTTGTAATAAACAGGTAAGTTGAAAGTGGTCGATCGTAAAAAAAATGTATATCTAAGTTCTTATCTCTCTTATTAAATTAATAACTGGGTGTCCTGGACGACGCGCGTACGAAGTTAGAACTCTCCTATGTACGGTTGATTATAATTATTTAAGAGGCGAAAAAAAATGCGAGTAATATATTTACAAATAATTATACGGTAACAATACAATGGGGTAATATTGACTTTCAATAAATATCTCGATAACCTTTACAATCACCACCAGCTTGTTACCGTATCGATAAAGTGTTTGTCTCGTAATAAACACGTTCAACGTATCCAAACGGGCATCACAATAAATCAAAATATTTTCGTGTATTTATATTGACCTGAGGTGAAACAGTAGGAGGGCTTTAATCACTGGAAAAAAATGAGCTTAGGATATTGGTCAGGATGACTGGTCATTGTTGTAGTTGGATGCTCTATTCGTGTGCGGTACAAGTACACGTACAACACAGCTAGGGTGCTAAAACATCTTCAGATCATAAGTCGACACTAAGGTTATTGTTACGGAGGAGATAATTATGATTTCAGGGAATTTTACATACATGTCATTAGATTTGTCTTATCAAAATTTACTAAGAATGTTAAACTATATTTTTTTTGTGAGTAAATTAGAATAAAATATGGATTTTTATTGTCAAAAATTTGTATGTAGTATAAAATTAAATTTATTACTATCCCCCCTCAAAAGAAAAAATAAATAAATAAATAAATAAAAGGTCAGATTAGAATCTGACCCATTTTCAACTATTGATATGAAAAAAACAAAAAATGAAGGTGTAATGGTTAATAGCAAAAAAATAGTTAAAGAGAAATAAAAGGGTTTAAGACTTGACATTTAGAATTCGGAAGTTAAGTATTAAAACGGAGGTATTATATATTTGTACAATATATTATTATATTTTTCTGCTATAATACATAATTGAATACATTTATTACAGTTCATATACAAGCCAAATCATAGATGTATAATAAAATATATGTTCCTTGTATGAGTCACGTTTTTGAGCAATAAATGATATGTTTTTTTGTAGCACCTGCGTTAAAAACTCAGTTTCTGACCATTGTTATAAATAGGTTTCGTGACACTGTCATGAATAAACACGATTGTATTATTTTCCCTTATAAATACCTAAAACTTCTTTAAAAGAACGCAATGAACATTTAAAGGCACAGCTTTCTTAAAAAAAAAAAAAACACATAACTATAATCTTTGATGTATACCTCGATATTAGTTAAAATTGTAACCATATCTATACTGTGTCCATTTCAACCAAACAACTGTTCATCATGTGTAATACAATGTCATTCATCAGTCCTGTATAGTCGACGGAAATTTTATTTGTAAACGTGACCCTCTCCGTGTATGACACACGCCAATCTTTATTACGCTCGAACATGGTAAATTCAATAATACGTATTAATAAAAAGCCGTCTTGTGTGAAATTGAAAAATCCAAACACAACCTAGCCGGTGTGGAATGCCGACAAAAACGATCCCGACAATGGCGTGCATACTTAACTGGGTTGTCATTTTGAACAGACATTTATTGAAGGACGAGTGCACTAGGAATGTGTGCACTATAGTCCTCGGAGGACAATACAGTTTACAATTAGGTTGTTTTGAATATGCAATTAATTGAGAGTATTTTAGTTTGCTTGAAAACGTTTTGTTTATCTCAAATGTACAACAAATTTCTTAAAACAATAATGTATGTGGATCAGTGACAATTACTATAAATCGATCTGATGTTTTATTGGTGGTTTATTATTTTACAAGTTCCTTTTGTTTTTAATTTCAACCACTATTTTTGTAGTTCTTTTTTTTTTTTTTTTTTTGAATGAATATTTTTTCTGTATTTAACACTCAAATTGAAAACCCTCATTATTCAACAGTAATTTTTTTTCAGGTGTGCCAGAATAATACTGACTTTCGTGAAATTCAATGTTCGTCGTTTAACGACAAGTTATTTAATGGTCAAAAGTACACGTGGTCAGCATATTATCATGGTGAGTATTCTTTACATTTTTTAGTTTTCGTTCAACATGTATTGTTATTATTTATTATTAGATTAATAAGAAAAATAAACAAAATATGTAAAACAAATTAACTAGCTGATTTTTTTAACTTTAATGGGTATTAGATGACCTTAAATATTTTAAATTTTTTTTAATCTGTGGTGATTAATTATTTAAATATGAAAATACATTAAGATTTGATTATAAAATATAGTGCAGCTCATAAAAAATTATAATAATTTACGAAGATCAAGCTTTCTATCCTTTTTAATGATTCCTATAGATAAATTAAATATATTTCTATAAAGGAAAGACATTCAAATTTTTTCAATCATTTTTGAGTATTTAATTATATTTATATACAAATTATTTATGATATCAATGATTTTGTAGTCATTAACTTATAAGAAATAACTTATAATTGTAAGCTTTAAAAATATTTATTTGTTTATATTTTATCGAATTATTGAACTGTACTACGTACAATTAAGCAATATTTTATAGCCGTTTATTTTTATCGTTTAACATAATATGAAAGTTATATTGTATAACATAAAAATATATATTTTTGATTTATTAGTTTTTTCTTATAACCTACCCTATAAAGTATAAATTACATATAAAAAATATTCACACTAAATTGAAAACACTATAAACATGATTTCTTCGATGTTAAAAATGATTATTATTCGTCTTATTTATGTTTTGTATTTATACATTTATATTATTAATAATAGTTATACGATGAAAATTTATTTGAAATTTTATTATATTCATTAGCCACAAATCAATGTGCGTTAAACTGTCGAGCAGTTGGATATCGCTTTTATGCCACTTTAAAACCTAAGGTATCAGATGGAACATCGTGTAACGGTACAAATAATTCAAGACCTTACGTTTGTGTGGAAGGACAATGTAAGGTAAGTGAAAATATTCTATCCTGTTTATGAATTTTATAAATTAATTAAATTGGATTTATTATTTATTTAAATTCTTATAGTTTTTAATTGAGGATTTAAAATATGAATATCTTATTAAAAGTCCATTGGTGTAAAAAAAATTGTATTTTTACTTAAGATCAAACGAAATTAATTTTATAGTGAAAAAAAAATGTTTCGAGTTAATGGTAAATCCGTTTACCATTTCGTCCATAGATGTTATAACACAATACGATTACGGTTGTTTAATAAATTAAATCACGATCATAAACGATTTTATGGTACAAAATAGTTTTCATAAATCTAATATCATAGAACTAATCAGAATATAAGGTAAATTTAATTCTTAATTATTAATAAAAATGTCACATGCGTGTCGACTGCAATTAATCAACATGTATATTATTCGTGGGGCATAAAATTATTTTTGGTTTTCGACCAAGTTTGTAGACGATATTTACTTGATTGTACACTAATGTATACCATTTAAGCGGCGGTATTATGGATATTATTATACGTTTGAAAATTAGTTGTCTAGCAGATTCTCCCCCGGGATAAGAAACACCTTTTCACCCCGGAGAACGTGCTGGGAATCATTTAATTTACAGACGATGACTGAGCAACTAATTGGTCTGGCATTAACGCCGCCCACAAATCATCAGATTAGTTCTGATAATGTCTAAGTCGTGGTCTACAAAAGCTTTTGCGCATGATTGAGTTATCTTCAAATAATTTACTATATAATGTGTTATATATATATATATATATATATATATTTATACTTATTTTAAGAGAAATCGAATTAATCGTATATTATTTCTTAATCTGTTCATAGTAATTTTTTTCAACGTTTTGTATTCTATTTAAGAATATATTTGAGTAATTTAAAATAATAAAATTATTAAAATCAAATCATACTGGCCATATTATACATTATTCATATTCGTTATTCGTATTTTCTAATCTCACTTGAAGAATAAATGTGGATTATACTATAATATTTATTTTCATTAGTAAATGAAATTATTTTAAAAATTAATGAACTACGTATTATAAGATTCTTGGAAATTAGTATTTAAATATGGTTAATAAATTAGGTTTGTAGCCAATATTATTATTTATGTTGCTACATGGGGATTTTATATAATAAATTATTTAACTATATAATTTTTAAAGATTGTTTAATGTATCTTGACTAGGTATCTTAAAGTGGTTGAAAAAATAATATACGGGGCTATAAAATTATTAATAATTTTGGAAGATTTGTTTACGGCATACATACTATAATTAATAATTATTGAACTATAAATTTCATTGTACTTGAGTTTTTAATTATGTAGTCTGGTTAAGTAAATACTTTTATTGTTATATATTATATTACTATGGTTAGGATAGATCATGCATTACTGAAATCTGAATTAGTGTACTACATCAGTGCATTTTATGTAATTAGATACATTTATATGGTTGCCAACGTGATAAAAAATAAATTATTTTTTATTGATAATAAATTAAAGATGAAAAAAATAGTTTTAAAATTCTTGAAAATAAATGGTCAATCGACAATCAATTTATAAATAACAGTGTATAGTGTAACGTTTTTAATGGTCCATGGCAACATAGGTGTGAACACGGACCACATAATTACATACAACGTATATTTTTGGGCGGTTTCCTCAACTAGCTCTGGTTCTTGTTGTCCTTTTACAGTACAAATTATAAACTTAAAAAAAAAAAAAATCAATACCTATTAAAATATAAATCCATTTGGAAAATACCCGTTAAAAAGCGCTTTAAGTTGGTTAATGTGTTGTTTTCTCATTGGATCTCATCGCCGAAAATAAATTAAAATTATAAACCGGAATAATATTTGATGTAGAATTAGCGCCAGAGAAAATAACGATGACGCAACATATATTACACATATGCAATATTGACTGAAATGTTGAAGGAGTACACACGCGTCGATTATTATTATTGTATTGATACGCTTCGTATAAAAATATTTTTAATGTTTTTGTTTTTTTATAATAAATCAATGAATACAACGAATTTGAAAGTAATTCGCCTAAAACTTATAAATAATTTACAATTAAAAGCCGGGAAAATATCAACGATAGAAGTTTTATTGAAAAAAAAAATGTCTTGAATATTTTTTGAAAAATAGAAAGTCTGAAGCCTTATTTTCTTATCGTATATGAGAATCAACTTAATATGTTTTGATTTGAGGTGTTCTGTGTTCCTATATGAAAATTGTATTTCAAAGATCAGTAAACATAAATAGGATTGACTTCTGGGTAATTCTAAAAGAAGAATAAAACCAGGGTTATATAAATCTATTTTGAAATAAATGTGTGTACTCTACCGGAATATGATGTTTTAGACAAGCCACCAGAAGCTTATACAAATATATTATCATATGCAAAGAAAACAGAGTAGAATACATTGAACACATTATTCACTTGTCTAGAAATTAATCAAACTGAAAGGTAAATGATATGTCATACGTATCATATGAAACCTATTACGTGCGGTCGCATAACTTATTTCGTTAACTGGATTGCCGAAATCTTTTTATTTTTTATTCATCTTTCATATTGAAATGCAATATCATAATGTATAATTTAAATAAAGAAATATGATCTGTGTACTGTTATGCTATGTTAATTATATAGTAAAAGTTTTATTATTAGATTTAAATGTAATATAAATAAATAATAATCTCAAATAAAAAAAATATATATAATCTTCTTAATCATATTTAAATCATATGAAAGAAATGTTAATTTTAGTCTATTACTTATTTTTTGAATTGAAATATTGATTGCATGTATATAATACACATTGTTGTTAATGCGTAAATTTTTTATGTATACTATTGCTATGAATAAGTGAGTCTAAAATGATTCATTAAACATTAAATATATATTGTTTTATTTTAAAATTATTAGTATTTTATGAATTATAATATCATCAATGAGAACATGGTATTGGATTATACTTGACTGGTTTTTTATAAGTAATGTAACATACAAACATCACTATGATTAAAAGAAATATGTACCCAAAAAACAAGTATAACTGGACGGTCTTCACTTGATCATCATATTTATCAACTTTCGATTGTATTGCATTTTCAGTAGAATTAAATGGTTGAAAGTCCTCAATAGCTTGTGGATCTTTGTCTACAGTTATTGCAGATGAAATTGTACAACACGTAGAGAAGAAAACAATAGCTGTAAACACAGTTATATAAGACATCTTTGTTCGCTAATATTATACTAACATAAATATGTAATGTTTCTAATTACTAAGGTAATAGTTGTGAGTTATTAATTGATGGGTCTAATCTTAGTATATTATAATTCTCATTTAGATAAATAATTTCATTATAGCCATCATAAAAAAATAACTAAAAATATGGGAACTAATATCGAAATAAATTATTGGTTTATACATTTTGACGATAGAAAATTGTGTTCACACACATCTTTCTTTGGTTTAAAAAAACGTCTTACTGTTTTTTTTTCACAGTTAAGGGATGAAAATAATTAATTTTCTTATATATTTGTGTAGCCATTTTATTTTTTTGGTTTTATGATTTATCAATTAAATCACTTGTGTTATAAATATGTTGGGTTATCGTTATTAAATTGTTTGTAACTACTAATGAAGATCAGATTTTCGGAAAATTTTTACACCTACAGTTTGTGCTCAACACCGCGGTTATACAGTAAAGAAAGTACATACTTTTCGACCCATCGCTCATTATTATACTATCATATTTTGGCACTCGGGCATACTTCCAAAGTATCCATCAAATGGCTCGAGCATAACAAAGGTGTGTCGGTAGATGATTGATATTGCCTAATCCACTGTACATAGTTAACCTCGTTCAGAATTAGAAGAAAAAAAAAATGCATGGCGATGTAAAATAATTATAGGTTGCTATTTTTTGAACGGCATAATATTATCTGCTATCCGTTGATGAGTCCTATTGTTATATTATATAAAACATTACTTAACATAAGTTATAAGTATTTGTATTTATTATTTATAAGCTGTATTTAGTATTTTGAACATGACAGTAACAGGACACGATGTGTACGAGTATATGTTATTTTATATGTGTGTGTATTTAAGAACGATCGTTAGATGTATAATTTTTATTTTATATACTGTATTATATTTTTGAATCGTTTATGTAATTCAACAATATAAACTGATTAAAATTAATTTTTATACCATGAAACTGTTTTCGAACTACCCAAATTAAAATCCATTAAGTATAATTTGCAAATTGAATTACCAAATTGAATTTCTACCTAAGGTAGTTTTCCATGTAGAACTAACCAATCTTAGAAAGATATCAAATTTTCTCCATATCATTACACTTCACGTGATTTTAAGCGTTTACTTAATATTTTCAATATTTGAGGCAATTCATGTATTTTTTGATTTAAATATTACCATACAGTTACCGCTAAAATTAACAGCAATTAAATTAGGAACTCTGAGAATCTACTTGTTTCATCTGCTTGAAGACGATTGCATATGTTTACTTAAATTCTTATAATTTTTTATTTAGTTTTGATAAAATAGTATACTACTTGTATTTTAGATTTAGGTTTGACCATAATGGAAACTCACATAAATATAGAGACCTGATAGAATTGTTATTGTCCTATTGTTAATAAGTTATCATTCCGATAATGATATACATTGTATATTGCCCACGAATTGTGATATTATTTATTGGCTGTTACTAAATGCTAAGTAATCATGTTGTTCAGGTTTTCAACATTGAGTGAAGCAAGAAATGTATTAGTTTTACAACAATGTTTTCAATTTTCCTGTAATTAAATTTTTAAAGTGAATTTATGTACTAGGGAGTTAAATGTATTTTCAAGTTTCTTTTTTAGTTATTTTATAACCATTACTTACTAAATAGATAGTATATTTTTCTATAGTTGATGTTTGCC